CCCTGCCAGTCACCCCGGGCAGGAAAAATATCACTGTCACATCCTATGTCATCGGAATGGAAGAGGCGAGTCTGTTCGATCCAGGAACTTAACATGCTGTAGCAGTTCTCTGTCCAACCCCTCCAACTTCCCTGCACGATACCAGTTCAGTGTGGGAGCCGTCATGGGGCTCACAGGAAGGACAAACTGCTGAATGACCCTCACCGAGGCTGGATTTGGAGACTTGGGCTGGAGGCTGGAAAGGCTGACATAGCAGGGAGACACCTGCCCGGCAGCTCCGGTTGCAGAAACCCCCAGTGCATCGTGTAACGTCTGGAACCGAGTAAGGGATCGCATCCCATCAGCAGTTACAAACAGAACTGGGCATTTTTGCTGTCTCCATAATTTGGGATTCAAAAGCATCAAAAAGATCTCAGGGAACTCCAAATCAAACCAGCCATGCAAGCCAGTCCAGTTTGTCCGGATATCCCGCTGCTCTTTGTCAGGAATGCACATTCCTGGATAAAGCCCATCTGTCACATCGCTGTGCTGCCTATCCCCCGGGGCTCTGTGGGGCTGCAATGCAGAACTCAGCACCGAGTTACTCGTTAGCCAGGAGGCTCATTTTCTCCTCACGCTAACGTTAAGATCGGTCCGATGCAGGAGCTCTCTCACCCGCACAAGCCCACCTCCCGGGAGCCAAAGAGAACCAGTCCCCTCCTCAGGCACAGAGCATTAAGTACTACTGTGAAACGTTACCCCTGGCGCCTGCTTCCGAGTCAGCCTGGCTGCTTTCCGAGCCGTTTTTTCATGTTCTTTCCCCAGATCCGCTGCCTCCCTAACGCTGTCAAAATAGGGATGCTGCAGCAGCTGCTCGCATGTCTGCCTCTCTGCAGGGTCCATCCGAAGGCAGCCCTTAAAGATGAAGGATCACACCACACGCTCGTTAAACAGGCCTGCACAGCTCCAGCTACTCACGAGTCTTCGCACAGATACACGTGTTGGGTTTGTTCACGGATTCCAAGAGCCTGGCTTTGCGGAGTCAGCACGGAGCTCGCGAAGCAGCTGTGCTGAACCACCACCGCAGGGCAGGAACACCCATCGCAGCTAGAGGGACAGTCATAGTGTACTGTCAGCAAACCCCAAAGCCTCAAAACCCTGCTAAGCCCGTAACTTTCATTCGAACTACAACAACTTTCCTAAGCAGGAGAATCCACGAGGGCGCTAGCCCTGTTGTTCCAGCATAGCCAGTACTACCCACAGCTGCACCTTCTTAATGGCTCCATCCTCATCGTTTCCACTCGCTGCATCTTAGTGAGGGAATAATGTTTTCCACCTCCATGGTAAAGATGAGTGGATTAGAGAGGAGTGCATTAGAAGTCCTCTCCAAATCCTCCCCCAGCTCTGTTTGTTGATGAATCTCTGAGAATTCAGTAGCCAACTCTCAAAGCATTTACCAGCTGATGAGCAAAACAGACTGCGCTTGCCAAGTCCCACTACAGAGCTCCTCCACCGGCTGTAATTTTCTTACCTTCATGAGAGCCAACGCAGAGTATGAAATACTTGGGAATTTCATTTCTAATGGCTCCTGGGGAAAAAAAACAAACAGTGAGTGCGCTCATATTAGCAAGCTTTTTATTCATCAGAGACCAGCTTTCCATAGCAACACGACCTGTACCGCACCAAATGCATCTGTCACCTCACAGTGACATGGAGGGGAGCTGCCTGGCATGACCAAGGACGGGCAGGTTGGCCGCTGTGCCACCAGAAGCGGGGAGAAGGAGACTAAGCATTTTTTTGACTGCTTTCACACAGGGTATCGGTTAAAACGGCACGAGAGGGGTTCGGCCACCTCCAAATAATGTTCTAGCGTACACTGGCAAAGTGGAGGGCAAAGCTTTTGGGGAGGGAAAAAATGCCACGCAGCAAAGGACTGGTCAAGCTGAGCAAGCGAGGCTTTTCCAGCTGTGCTGCCGAAGCAGGCGGCAAGGGTACTCTGGGTGAAAAGAAGCAGGAACATTTCTCTGTCTGGGTCTCCTAAGCACTGCAGAGGTTGCTGGTTAGTGCTAGGCTCGAGGGAGATACGTCTGGAGGGAGCTCTTACCATGCTCTCTGGGTCTGGAATTCTTACCCCGCTGAAGAACTGGTTGGTGCTGAACACTTGCTGGTGCCTGGGAATAAGATCCCCTTTGACCAAGAATAAAAAAAAAAAAAAACAAAGTTGGATTAATTTGCTGTTTTTACAGTGCCTGCACTGAGCAACCTTACACCCTCTAACAAGGCTGACACCATCCCAGAGAACATCAAAAGTGATGGAGAACCACCAAGCGAGCCGACAAAAGGTTCCTTTGTGAAAACAAACGTCCATCTAGGACACCAGTGACCGCACAGCTGTGGGCCTGCTGAGGGAAAGGCAGGGCCACAGCTCCGCAGCAGCCCAGGGCCTCCTGCTGGAAGTAGCTCAAAGGAATTCAGCTGGCGGGGGCAGTTGTTGGAGCAGGAGGCCCCGGCTATTGTGCATCCTCCAGGCTCTGCGTTTCTGCGCGGGGCAGCAGAGTGGCTCTTACAAATGGGGCCTTGGAAAAAAACTGTATTTATCTCGCCACGCTGAACGCCCAGATCATATCACCGCTTTATCTGGGTAACTGCAGATTTGGATTTGCACTGGCCAAAAGACCCCCGGGTAGAACACCAGGGAATGAGGTGGGCAAGGCACCGAGTTGCACAAACACGTCTTGCGCTGCACCAGCACCTGTATCTCCGCTGTGCGCCGGCCAAACTTGCATGTCGGCGAGCAGGGGAACGTCTCTCAGCATCATAGCTAGAGGGTGCTGTGCAAACACCTTCCAGGATCCACCGCTTCAGCCAGAGATCCTTCCCAAAGCCTTCAGCCGGACCAGACCAGCAGCTAACTCCCCTGCTCGCATCAGACGTCACGGACCAGCCCTGGGCTCTGAGAGCAACTGGCAGGAGCCACCGTTGGTTTTGGCGGCGGCCGCACGGCAGCGTGGGCACGCTTGGTTGGTGTGCTCTGTTGGAGGGAGGGTGAGCAGGGCGCTGCTGGCCGGTGTTAATGTCGTATTTCGGCATTTTCAAAGGAAAAGGCCTCCCCAGAGGCAGCCTGTCTGCATAAACAGTCCTGTCCTCTCTGACTGCTGGAAGGAGACAGGCTAACCACAAGCATCATTAAAATTTAACTCATACTGGGTGAAATTCTTTTCATAAACTCCTGAGGATGTTGTACAGAAAAGAGCTGAAGTGCAGCACCAACAGGAACATGCGGTAGCTTTTCCCCAGCGCAGCTTCATGGCCCTTTTTTGAAGCTTAGAGCAGCTCAGAGCCAGTCAAATGTTAAAACGAAATTCGTAACAAAAGAGCCAGTACAACAGCCAAAGCACCACAACTACACAGCTCTGACCCAGGGGCCTTTCTCTGCAAACACTGCCTCAGCCCATCACCTGGATCAAACCAGAACTTCTTCTGTCGTTAAAAACAAATTATAACCAACCTAACACTGGTGTAAATGTATTGTGGAGGGTGAAGCAATTGATGTTTAACTATTTTTCTAGCTAAGGAGCTTATCTGTTTAAAGCTGTTTAGTTGCCTTTATAGTTTTATAAACTGCTCAGTAAAAATTACAATTTTCAGTTCATTCCAACAAATTCCAGTTAAAAGCGGGCGTTGTTCCTTTCCGCTTAAGAAAACACGTTACACACCAACATCAAATAGAATCACTGAGACTGGATTAATTGAAATGCTACACGGATAATGGCTCCCAAAATTCCTCAGTGAATACAGACGAAGAGGTGGAACAAACTTGAGCGTTCACACTCTCTTTCCCAAGCACGCAGCCATAGACAGGCACCGGCGACGTTTAGGAGCCCCCCGAAGCTGCGATGAACTAAATCCCAACTATTCGTCATCTAGAGGCCGGGACCACTTTGCTCGGTACCAAACCTTGAAAACCACCTGGATCTTCCAGACCTTTATGCAAAACATTCCTGGTCCTTTCTGATCCAGGCACCTCATTTTTCTGTCTTCGTGGAGCCAGCTGAAGATTTGGGAAGGACAGCAGCAGGGGCAGGTGTTTCTGTGCCTCCTGCGGGGCTGGTCCTGTGCTCCCCACACCCCGGTAGTCACCGAGCCACCCCAAAGATGCCAGGAGGGGCATCCAGTGGTCACCTAACACATCCCACATCTTTCTTAAACTGCCCAGCACCAGCCCCAGCTTCCCAGAGGCCGCCACTGCTAAAGAGAGCGGAAGGATGGGTTCGGGGAGTTTGCAGGCGATGATCCTGCTCACGCAGCCCTGTTCGTTGTGAGCCTTTTAGCCGCAGCCTGGCACGGCTGGCTCATACAAGCTGAAACCAATTCTGCCCCACGGATCTTTTTCGGAAGAACAGTCACCACCCACATGGATGTCAACTTCATCTCCCCAAATCCTGCCAGGACTTGCAGCAGCATCTGTTACTCCAACTACACAATCTCCTGACAAGATGTGAGTGCCTAAGTCCTGCCAGGAAAACCCAGCTCCCTTTTATGGACAGTAACACCTCAGACGAGCCAGCACCTCCTAAAGGGAGAGATCCGCTGGGTAAATTCACCTCCTGGATAATCCCGAGTCCCACCACAAAGTCCTCCTGGGCAAGCTCTAGCCTGGCCCGGCAGAGCGGGGCTGCGAGCGGTGCGGAGGCAGCACTTACCCAGGGTTCTCCGGATGAGGTACAGCTGGTCGACATCAGACTTGCCAGGCCACAGGGGCACCCCGGACAGCAGCTCGGCAAAGACACAGCCTATCGCCCACACGTCCACGGGAGGGCCGTACTGGGTGTCTCCCACAAGTAACTCCGGAGAGCGGTACCACCTGGTAGCCACATAGTCTGTGTAATAATCACTCGGACCAGCTAGGTTGGGGTCAGGAAAGGAGAGAAACAAACAGGAGCGTGGGATCAGAACGCTGCAGAGGAGCCACTAGCGGTTGTTATACGTGTTGGGGCACCTCCTGGGCAGGCAATAGCTACAGGCAGAGGCTGAGTCACTGGCCACTAGCAGAACCCAGCTTTGGGAACACTTAAGATTTGGCAAAAATCAAGATGGTACTTTTCTCCAAATGAAAATAGGCAGAGCTCCACAGCAGGGTCCTGCACCAGCCAGCAGTCAGTTCTCAAAGCCCACGTGATTTGTCTGAACAAGAGCTAAAAGAACCCAAAACAGATTAGGGGCTTTATTTACAACGGAAAATGCGAAGCTATTGTTTGCAGAGACAGTGCCTTCTGCCAGAGGGGCTCCTCCTGCCAGGGAGCTCCAGCTGTGTCTCCAGCATTGTGCAAAGCCACGGCTGGGCAGGTCCGAGATGCCCAAGGCCGATTTCCATCCCCCAGCACCAGCACCAGCCGCAGTTCAGCTGCACCAGCAGGGAGCTCAGACGGAGCCTGTTTACAGAGGCACTTGGCATCTCCGTGTCTGGGCTAGCTGCCTTTAAGCTGGTTTGGGGACCTCTACCCAGCCTTTAGCAGAGCTCCTCTGTGAAAACACACCGGCCTTTACATAGGGTGACTCACATGTGCATCAGGCAAAGCCAAGTGAGTCTTTACTGGTGTTTGAAAGCCTGAGCCTACACTTCATTTGAGCTTTCGCCTGTTAACAATCCATGTTAAGTCGGCACTCACTCAGTATGCGAGCAAATCCAAAGTCACAAAGTTTGATGACTGAGTGCTTTGTTATCAGGATGTTTTCTGGCTTTACGTCTCGGTGGATGCACTGGAAACAGAAAAAAAAACAAACCAAGGTTACAAGCAATTATTTGACCTGTCTCTCAGATAAAGAACCTCTTAACTCAGCCACATACCCCTTGCACAAGGTGCCAGGCAATCATTCCCGCTGAAAGACAAGATGAAAGGATTTCTTAACAGCGGCTAACGCCACCTCCTGCTGGGCAGGACAACTACCCTGCCTAGACCCCACCTTTGGGATGAGACGCTGCGCAGGCTCCCCGCTCCAGCTGCATCGCTCTGGATCACTCGGCCAACACCGAGGCAGCTCCCCAGAACCAGCTGGGAAGCTGCCAGCAGGAGGAGCGAGGTTTGCACAGCAAAGCTTGTGGTTATACCTGGGTCTCTGCAAATGCAACTCCCTTGATACAGCTCCTAGTAAGGGACTGGGTTTTACAAATATGTGGGAAGATCCTAATGAGAGGTGCTTTTGTGCGTGGGGCCGCCTGGGATCAGTTCTTGGACCAAGTCCATGAACTGTATTTACTGATAATCCAGTAAACAAGCCAAGAGTTTTGCTGGCGAAGCTCCCAGGTGAGATTGGAGGCAATGGTTCAGATGTGGGACTTCATCTGTCCTTGTAGATGCCAGAGCAGACCTGGTGTTCCCTTTACTCAGCACGGGTGAGACACATCGAGAGTTCCGAGTCCAGCTTCGGGATCCTCTGTAGAAGGAAGACACGGGCGTACCAGAGTGACTGCAGCGAAGGGCTGCTAAAATTTAAGGGGTTGGGGCATCTGACACCCAAGGAGAGGATGCGGGAGCTGGAAAAGAGAAGGCTCAGGGGGCATCTTATCAATGTGTAAAAATACCTGATGGGAAGAAGTAAAGAAGATCAAGCCCGGCTCTCCTCAGCGGGGTCCAGTGAAAGGATGAGAAGCAACGGGCACAAATTGAACACACACGAAATGCCATTTAAACGTAAGCAGGGTTTTTTTGACTGTGAGGGTGGCCAAACACCCAAATGGGTTTCCTAGAGAGTCTGTGGAACCTCTGACCTTCATTGGGATATTCAAACCCTGCCTGGAGAAGTTTCTGAGCAGCCTGCTCTCGCTGACCCAGCTTGAGTGAGAGGGCTGGACTAGATGATCTCCAGAGGTGCCTTCCAACGTCAGCAATTCTGTGATTCTTGGGAAGCGATCTTCCTTGCTGAAGGTTCACCGTAATCGAATTTGGGCTTGGCAAAAAGTTGCTGCTGATCAAACTGGCAGAGACATTAATTTCTTCTGCCTGAGTACGAAAGGTGTGCTCTACTGAAAGCACCAGGGTCTAGTCACGTTGTCCCTCCCCTACCATCACCTCAGCGCAGACACCTCGGACTCTTCCTAGCTAAGCTGGTGGTAAATTATCGTGTCTCCTCCTGAGGACTGAAATGCTGCTTGTTAAACGAGTGTCATGGAGTTCCAAAAAGGGCAGCTGCAAAAAACCTCATTACCTATGATCTACAGCAGGTCAGACTGAAGCGTCTCATTGTTCCCTTGGCTTTAAAATCCCATTAAATCTTTCAGACTGAGTGGGGGAACAGAAAAAAAAAGAAGAAAAACAACAAATCCTGGAAGCAGGACAGACCGATGGCCAAGTTCCTGTGGCTCAACTGGACATAATTCTCCCAGCAGAGACAAAACACCCATTCCAGAGCCATCTCCTGCCCGCCTCTTAAATCTCAAATATTGGCAGATAAACAAAACAAAGACAAATACAGCTAAGTTTGCCTAAAGAACTTATCCAAAAGGCTCCTCTCCTTCCCTGCTTCTTAAAGCATCCCCACTGATTTCTACAAAATATTTGCCAGGCACGTTTCCCTCCAGAAAGCTGAGGAGGGGTTTTAAGACTGGTTTAGTGTATCTAATTTTTGAAACCTTTTAACCGATGTCTCGATGACTAGCAACAGAAGGACTTTCTGGGAAATCAGGAGCAGTTTGCTCAGCTCTCAGCTGATTAGATGTTAAGCCGTTTTTTTAAACCTCGCTTGTAACACATGCCACAGGGAACACCCAAGGATATATTCCTGTTCAGCCTGGAAGCTCGTCTAAGGTCATTAGTGCAAATCATTCCTTGACAGCAAACCCAGGGGACCTGTGTGACAGTAAATGCAGCAGTTGTGGGCACACACTAATATTTCAGATACACTTTTCCCACTGAAAACAGGAAATTTCATCTGACTTTGTCCCAGGAAAGCTCCGTAATCAGGAAAATGGCAACGGAATCTCCTTCTCCTCCAAAGCCACGTTACAGCAATCGTTAGTGCTGTTTAGGGGACTTACATTGTGTTTATGGCAGAAGTTCACAGCTTGGAGGGTCTGCCAGGTTATGCTCTTCACGAGATGCTCCGGCACCCTGTTTTAAAAAAGCACATTTTTATTTTGGCCATTAAAAATAACTTCACTATTACAGGAAAAAGGAACAGGAAGCCTTTGAGTGCTAACATTGTACAGGGATCTCTGAGCAAAACTTAGTCAGGCAGCACGGCAGAAAACTCAGGAAAAAACCCACTAGCTGCATTTTCTTGCTAGAAATAAGTTAGAAGAAACACATAATAACCATCAGTTCGTTGCTCTTCCACTGCAGGAAAGCAGTGACTCTGGGCTGCTGATGGTGGAGGCTGTTTCTACCTCTTCCCAAGTTTCAGAGCGGAGGCTGAGCTCTGCCTGCACCTCCCTTCCCTATGGAAAGCAACGCTCTCCTGTGAGGTTACCCTCCAAGCATCGCAGGAGCGTCAAAGGGAACACCAACACCACTTCCAAATCCAGCCAATGCCACAAGACACAAGGATTTACGGCAGCTCAGAGCACGCCAGAGCGGCCGGTACCGCTCCGTCACAGCCAGCAGGAGGCTGCCAACTGGTGACCACACCTCAGTGCGTACAAGTCCGTGTCAAATCCTGGCTTGTGGCTGCGCTTAGCACCCACACCTCCTGGCAATCCTCCCGCCACGCCAGCAGGCGTTTCTGCCTCTGCAACTGCTCAGAGAGCTGGAGCGGGTGGATATCCGCGGTGTAGATGAATGCTCTGACATCGACGGTGCGGAATAGAGCGGTGACCAAATTGGGACAGGGAGGGATGTTCCTACAAGAGTGTTAAGCTCTACTTTGGTTTGCACGTCCTCTCCTTCCCCCTCAATGGCTGGCAAATGCTTCAGAGAAAGAAAACCCCTGTTAAAAGATCCAGCCTGCTCTCCTCTCTGTCAGCTCCATGTACAACAGTTCTTAAAAGTCCTTGGCCATCTGTAATGGGCTTCAACGACCCCAGGAAAGGCAGAGGTGACCGTCTTGGCACTTTCAAGTTCAAATCCAATTTTATTTCATGTGTTTAATGCCGAAAAGCTTCTGATTCATCATAAAGAAAAAAAAAACCCCACCAAACCTAAACCAAAACAATATGCAGGAAGCCTGGCTTTTTCTTTAAGGCACCTTCTGCTGTCAGCGCTGAAGGTCTTGTGCTGACACTGCTGTTGCAATGCTAGAGTTCCCTTCCAGAAACATCCTAGCACGATGAGAGTGCTGCACTGACGGCCTGACAAGGGGATGAAGCTGGTCAAATGACCTGGAAACACGGTGCAAGGAGACGTGTGCCCACCCATGTTAATCCTGACCACAAAAGACTTGACATCTGCCGTAGCAAAGATCAAAAGCGAAGCATGCAACCAAGCGTTACTCGTTTGTTCACATTGGTGCTGTTCTGATGAACAGAAAGCAAACGTGAAGCGTTTGCTTCAAAGAGGGTTATCCATCAGCCCTTCAGATTCCAGGTGAACAGGTTCAAACTGGGGTGAAAGCTGCTCACCAGCTCACAGAGCGACCTGCTATCAGCATGCTCCGATCTCCTTCTCGAGCTCCACATCGGGAAGAAAGAGAGTAACAGGCTCTTGTTTACTCAACCCCCAATTAGCCTCCTGCAGCAATTCATTTAGCTCCAGGCCTGCAAAATGATTTATGAACCTCAGCTTAGCATTTCCACAGCACCAAGTCACTGTGAATAACTAGGGACAAAGTGTTTAGTGGGAGTGCCGCTTATAACGTGTCAGAAGAACAAACCCCGTCCCGGAGAATGTTCCTTCCACCCCTGTAGCTCACACTTTGTGCAAGTGCCTCGTTAAAGAAGAGGGTATCTGACCCGAGGCTGTGCAGAGAGGCGCAGGCATAGCTCCTGGTAACTCCTGCCAGCCAACCCACACTCCTTAGCACAGCAGCGTGCCAGAGGGCTGCAAGTCACTGGTCTGTCATACGGGTCATCAGTGACATCACGACAGACTGTATATTTGGGTGCTCGATGGCATTGCTCCAGTGCCCACAGCCCGGCTCTGCGCAGCCTCCCCCAGGGATGTGCGACACCCGTGGGGAGCAGCAGGACGGAGCGCTGCGTGCCCCCAGCCCGCCTGCCCGCCTCCCCCAGCAGCCCTAACCCCCCCCTTGCAGCCAGACACGAGCTGCTCCCAAGCCCCTCGGGTTTGCTGCCGCTGAGCCAGCCAAAGATCACCCGAAGGCTCAGTGCTCCAGTCTCCTTGGTGAGCAGCCCTGCGCCGGAGCACACGCGGGCCCATAAGCAATTCTTTTGGATGACATTGCTAAACCACAGCAACAGAACAAGTCCTGGGCACTGGGCTGAGAAACCTCTCCTGTAATTAATGAAATTCCTCCTAAAACTCTGCAGAGCAACAACACAGACACCCCCTGACTCCTTTGCTCAAAGCCCCCAGGGAGAGACAGGCCACTCACCCCCGAGGGTGCTTGTCCAGCTCATGGAGAACCGTGTGGTCACAGTATTCGAAGACCAGATGCAGCCTCCGCTTCCTCCTGAACACTTCCAGCAGGTTCACCAGGTTGGGGTGTTTCAGTTGCTGTAACACACAACGGACGGACTGGTTAGTTACTGCAGGGGGGAGCAGGGTAAAGGTTTTGGGGAACAGGGCTTTTACCCACAAGGGTCTCTACTCCTTGAGCTGAAACCTTTTATACGGGCACAGCACGGCGTGAAGAAGCAGCTCAGCTACCGCTCAGCCTGCGGTGTAGTTATTTTAGGAACTGACCGTGGGCAACAAGTCAGCTTGGCTTCAGCGAGCGCCTCTTAGAAAAGATGCTCATAGATAAAGAATCCATCACGGTGCCCACAGCTCTTCCGGCAGCGCCTTTCAATGTACGTCCCCAGCCTTTGACTGCACCTCAATGAAAAGCAGCTCTCCCTGGAGAACAGCTTGGGAAATCGCACACGGTAAGAGCCCGTCGCAGGCAAACACACCATTAGGAGAACCCGAGAGCTCCTCTGACAAGCTAAGTGAAGCACGTGGTTTCAGCCTCACTAGCTTATGGTCAGAATCTGGACGGGTTAATTAGGAGAATTTTTATTGCCGCATTTTCCTCTTCCTCTCGGTCCACTTCATGGGCTCATACCACGGCTTCCTCTCCTGGGGAGCTCAGACAGCTTCTTACCACAAAGCCTGAGCACAGCAGGGTTATTCAAATCACCTTGCAAGAGGTGAGGGGGGGACGTTACCGGAGCTTCTCATTTCCTATTCTTTGGCCCAAATTTTAGGGGAGGGCTGGGAGAGGGCTTGAACCAAGGGGCACAACACAGTGTTCAGAAAAGGAAACAGAAAAGCCTGACCCAACTCAGGGATGTTATTTCTTTTCAGATGACTCATGGCACCATCCCCTCCACTTGCAGGGACCAATATCCACAAGGGCTTTGCCTGACCCAGGCTTTAGAACAAACACATTTCTGAGGAAGGAGGCTGGAAAGGGCATTGCCTAGGAGTTAACGTTAATGCCTTCTTCTAATGTGCCTCTGAGCCATCTGGAAAAGCCTGCAAAGGAGAAGGAAGCGAAGAGTCAATTCCTCCCCTGAGGAATGCAGCCGTTTGGGGAAGCACCCAGTTAACCCCAAGGTGAAGGATCACTGAAATCCACGACTCTAATCCTGGGGTTAACCAGTAAGCTTGAGTAAAAGAGCAGGTCAGTAGAAGACCTCATACCTCATTGCCAGCCTGAGGTCAGTAGACGACCTCATACCTCATTGCCAGCCTGTCACGAGTAGGAGGGACATGGCAGGGGCCGTTTCAGTGCTCCGATGGGCACTGTGGGACCCTTTGCAAAACGTAATTTTATTCAAGCATGTCACTGTAAAAGCTCCTTGTAAAGAGAGACCTTCCAGGGAGCTCACTGCCTTATACTGAACCCAAACTGAGCCCATACGCCACCACACAGGGTCCCTGTCAGCGTGCAGAACGTGGCTATTGCCGTCCTGAAAACCAGCAGCAAGGAGCTGATCTTTCTAGACAGCGTCTCTTACCACATGCAAGTCTTGGTCCTTCAATCCTGCCCACACCGTGTCAACCGCCTGGCAGCATCGAAGACCTTCACACCCATCTGGATCAAACCTAAGTTACAACCAAGGTCTTCTGACCACTTCCTTGGCCCTCCGTGGTATTTGTACACCAAGTGCCTTCCCTGCCTAGCACGAGGTACCCGACAGTGTCAGCAGGGGCTGGCTGTCAGCGCAACCTTCTCTGCCCCGGCCGTGTCTCCTGACCTCGCATAACGGCCGGACTTTCTGTGCACACCCCCAGTTCCCACGGCAGGGCTGCTAGGGAAGGCACTGAACCTCAAGGGAGGAGGCTTGTAACACCTCTGAGGTTTGATATTTATCTAGTAGCGTCTCCGTTCTCCTCATTTCCTTACCCACTTTGCAAAAGATGATCAGATACAGAGGACGTCCCTCAAGATGGCTGAAAAGCCCAGCAACGACAGCAATTCTCCCAGGAACGGTGTGCACACCATGCCACCCATCCTGTTGAGCACACCCCCATCGAGCACGGTACCTACTTGCCACGCGCACATTCGGCAAAGCCCCATCTACCAGTTCAGACTCCACCACGAAAATCAGACGGCTGCCGTGGCTCTGGCTCGGCCCCTTCCCTCACCAGCCGAGCAGCTCCTGGTGGACTGTGCCCAGTGGATCCTTCCCTTCCCAGGCACTCGCTGTGTTGGTGTATTAAATTCTCAGAGAACAGATACCTGAGAGCCAGCTGGGCCTCCAGCAACTCTACTGGGCAGCAGGTGCCCGATTCCTCTGTTGCTCTCAGCAGATCTGCCTGCCAGCATGGACAAACTGCCGGGCACGGCCAAGCCTGCCAGCGGGAAGGAGGCAGATGAGACAATCTTTGCAGTGCTTAGATTCCACTTTCAGGTGAGGACGAAATAATTGCCAGCTGATTGTAAAGCAAGAAGAAAGTTAAATGGACAACAACGGATCGAGATCTTCGGAAAACCTCTGGCAGTTAGAGGTTGGGTGTACGAGTCAGCCCTCAGGAGCAACCTTCACAGAGCAGGCCGTGCCTAGGGACAGTCTGTCCTGGCCGCCCTCCCGTGCGCGTGGAGCTGGGGGTTCGGCAGAGAGCGAGCTTGGGCTTGGAAGCACGAGGACTGGCTGAGCTGGGGACACCGCGAGGGGACACACAAGAGCGGGTTAACCTGCCTCTGCGAGGCCTGGAGAGGGTCCCCCGGGAGCAGTCTGGCCATGGCATCTCCCCCCGCCTCGCTCACAGCCCAGCCTCTGTGGTTGGGGCTCGCCAGGCAGTCGGGTTCACTGGGCCGCTGTCTCTTGTGCAGGCAGACGTGCACACAAAGCCACGGTAAATCTGCCAGTGACCTGAACAACGTCCCCGCTGGGCAGCGCAGCGTTTCAGAGAGCAGTTCCCAAGGCTATCAGTGCTGCCAGTGGCCGGTTGCTGGCAGCACTGGGATGGGCTTTCCCTCCCTGCCCTCTGCTTGGGTGACAAGGCCGTGTGTCACCTTCTGCATGCGGGCCAGATGCCCTGCAGGGGCTTTTCCCCAAAGTTATAAATGCTCTCACGATGATAGGGATTGTTTTCTGTTTCGTATATGAACACAGCTTTGCGTCACATTTCTCCCTCATCTTCTTGGCAATGTTGGAGGTAAAAACTGTGTCAGCCTCCCTGCGAAGGTGGGGGAGACAGCTCCCTCCTGGAAACAGCAGGCACTGATGGGTTTAGACACAGACTCGCTCTCTTTTCACATCTTTCCAGCCTTCCCTACGGAATCAGGACCACGCAGCGTGTTTCAAGACTCCGCATACCATACTCTGCTCTCCCACCCCACCTCCCATGGCTCCTGGCCATAAAAAGCCCTTTGTCTACAAGGTATTTGCCGGGCAGAATAACAATTTATCAGGCCCTACATTTTCTACTGATGAAACAACCTTACAAACACTTAGTTGTTGCCTAAGCCAGGAAATACCTCAACAAACAAACAAACAAGCTGTTACTATTTACAGAGAAAAAGCTGAAAAGATAGTCAAGCAGGTCTGCACTTGTTAAAATCAACAGCGGCCGGACACAGATCCTGCCGCAGCTAGCTGCAGCGGTGTCGGCTTTGGACCCTTAAGGATGATGCATTTACCATCTGCATTACAAGTGACTTCTGCACTGATTATTTTCCTTTTCAGATCTTTAATCTTAATGTAGCTCTAGTATTGTTTACTACAACGATACAGCTATCTGTTTGCTTCAGACAGGAGAAAAAATTAGGCTGTTCCTCCCCAAAATCTAACTGAAAAATAAATACGCTTTTTTCCTAAATGATGGCTCTTCTAGGATGCCAACCAGGCTTATTTTGCCTCTTTTTTGCAGAGAATATTCCTTTGACAATTACATTTACACCACTTATTTATATCTAAACGCTCAATAAAAGACAAGCCAACAGCACAAAGAGATTTTGGGAAAAGAAATATCAGAAATACTGTAACCTGCTGAAATTTTGCCCTCAATTGCAAATCTGAAAGCTACGTGGTTCCCAGCAAGCAAATTAAGCTAACGAGATGGAAGGGAACATTGAGTGCAATGAGTATCAGGTGCTGCTACGCAAATACCACCAGGCAGTGAAGTCTGGGAACATCATGCAGAAACCAGAGACCAAGAGACCAGGAATTTTGGGAAAGAAGTTTTAAACAAAATGGAACATGTTTCTCTGCGGATTTCTGTAGGGTTTTGTTAACTCCAAAATCCTAAATCATTGGCTGTCCAGAAGAATGCATTGTGTCTAATCTGAACGGCGTGGTTCTTGTAAAAAGGAGTCCTATTCGAAGTAATTCTTTTAAAATTTATAAAACCCCCCCATGCTGTTAACATGGTTCTTTAATCAGTTCTGAAGCTACAGCTCTTCTGCACGGAAAAGAGAAAGCTGAGGATGGGGAGATGATGGAGGTGTATAAAATCATGAGTAACCTGGAGGAAGCAAAAAGGGAACAACTCTCTCCACTGCTCGGAACACAAAGCTGAGGGTACTGGATGCCATCACCCAGCAACAAGTTTATAACAAATAAAAAGAAATATTTTTTCACTCAACACATTCCCAAAGTCGTGGCACTCACTGCCTCAGGAAACTATGGAGACCAAATGAATACACCAGTTCAAAAAGAGATGGGACAAACTCCCAACGGTCTATGAACACCTGCTAAGCATGAAGCAATGGGTACAACCTCTGGCTCTAGAAACTTTGCCCAGAAGCTGGGGGTGTGAAAGGAAATCTTACTCCATCCTCTCCCTCTTTCTCCCGGGTTTCTCCTCATTTCTGCATGCTTGATGGACCTGGGGTGTGACTCACTGCAAATGTTCCCATGCTTTTATTTCATTGGGAAAATAAACACAGAGGCTGGAGGAGTGACCCATTTCTATGTGAGGATGAGCTCTCACACAGAAGTCAAGAAACAATCAGCAAAGACAAGGTGCTGCCATGCTTCAGGTGCCAGTTCTACAGTCACTGCCACACGTGAATACCCCTGAGCCTACACAGCCCCCAGCATTCAATACATGGCTGGATCCCACCTGCACGTCAGGCCCCGACACTGCGGATCCCCAGCAACCAGGGGCTCAGAAAGGGCATTTTAAGGAGGAGCTGGGGCAGATTAACAAAGCTCGGAGCTAGGAGAGCTGCGCCCCGTGGCTGTTCCCCACGTCGTGTTATCTAGGATCACTTTTTGCTCATGAGCTTTACACCAGCTCCAACAGTCCTTGTATCTGAGGGGAATCTCCTGGATGCAGAGGAGGATGCTGCTGGCTGACCTGTTACAGGCGGTGCTGCCTGTGCACTAAGGGCAGAGCTGTGCCTGTACCAGCCAGACCATCGCTGACTCCATGGGGGACACAGTCTGGGTCAATCCCTCGCTAAAGGGCACAGTGATGACTTTGTCGATGCTCCTCCACTACCCAGGCAGAAGTCTAAGGGCACGCAGCAGCTTGCTCTTTGCAGGGTCTCAGCTCCCACCTGTAGCAGCCCTCTTGGATGTGTAACAGCCTGGGCCATGGAGGATCCCCTCCACCCCAAGGCACGTCAGTCCCTGGCCAAATGGGTCAGATTTTCACTGGCACCAGCTTTCTC